AAAAGATATCCTATTGGAGTTGTAGAATAAGATTCGATATACCAAACCAATTGGAACCTCCAGTCTTTTTTTATTATCATTTAACAAATTTTTACCAAAATCATAGACGTTATGTCAAAAGTCTTGATCCTGATCAATTGAAAGGCGTTGCTGTTAGTCCATCAAATTTACAAAAAAATTGCAAACCAATGGCCGTTACATCCGATGGTTTTCCGATTTATCCTTGTGGCTTGATTGCTAACTCCCAATTCAATGGTAAATTATGACAAGTAAATTGTTGTTGCTGTTAAAACATTTTTATTTGTAATTTTATATTAATATATATTTTTTAATTTAGATACAATCAGTAATCTCTCACTTTTAAGCGAATCAAATCTTGATGTTATTGAAGGATCGTATAACTTTAGTCAAAGTGGTATAGCATGGCCATCTGACAGACAAAAATATGGCAAAACAACTTATGACTACAGTCAAATACGTCCACCACCCGATTGGGCTGATAGATATCCTAATGGTACTTACACAGCTGAATATCCACCACCTGACCTTCCAAACGATGAACTTTTTCAAGTCTGGATGCGAACAGCTGGTCTACCTAGCTTCAGAAAGCTTTATGGTAAAAATGAAATAGAGCCATTGAAAGCTGGAACCTATGAAGTTATAATTGAATACAGTAAGTTTTCTTTTCAAAAAAACCATTATTTGCTACTCATTTATAATTAATTAAATGAACAATATTAATATTATTTTTTAAAAAAAAGAATTTCCTGTTACTAGATATGGTGGAACCAAGTCATTTGTAATTTCCACTGTATCATTCCTTGGTGGTAAAAATCCTTTCTTGGGATTCGCTTATATTGGAGTTGGTATTCTTTGTGTGCTACTTGGATGTGCATTTACTGCTAGACATTTATACAAACCAAGGTAACAAAATATTTTTATGTAGACAATAGTAATATTAATATAATTTTTTATATCATCGAGTTAATTATTATAATTTTTTATTTTAGAAAACTGGGTGATCATGCTTATTTGTCTTGGAATAATCCTACGCCTACAAACAACCAATAATCATAGGATTTCGAATTAACTAGGATCAAATTGTATGATAATTTGATTTAAAAAATTTAAATAATTAATTAATTAAATCACACTCATTCATTTATTCATTCGCCCAACGAACATTCATTTAATTAATATATATTTTTTAGATTATTATATTTAGTAAAGTTAATCCATTTCTATGTATTTATTAATAAATTTTTATTTTTAATTGAATTTTTAACCACAAATTAAATAAACATATCATATTTGTTTTTTCCATCAAACTAGTTTTTAAATTTTCCAAATTGTTTGTTTTATCAAGTAGTAGGGAAGGAAGATGTCGGCTAAATTTGCAAGATTTTTAACAAAAATAAATAGATAAAATATCTATACACAAGCAATTTTATATAGCTGTAAAATTAAATAGTAGGTGTCAAAACCAAACCAAGTCGTTCCACGTTTATTTCTTTTATTTTCAATCTTATTACATCACCAACTTCACTATTTTCAGATTCAATTAATCTTCCGCGAATTCCAAATTCTCTTAATAAAACTAGTTTAGAATCACTTTCACCCTTTTCAATAACCAAACCTGTTAATTCTGGCAATATATTAAGATTAATCATTCGGTTCAGAAGCGTTAAAACCCAAAATTTTGAACTTTTTTGAGATTGCCTAGAAATCTCTCTCTCCTGTTTACACAATAGATGATCCTACTGCGCATGAATTGGATGATGGGATATCAATTGAACGTGTCTCAAAATCATCATCACTAGATGGGTCTGATGTCTCTTCAACCTGGATACATGTTCATGTTGCTGATCCATCAGCATATATTCCGCCACATCATGCATTATCTAATATTGCATTTTCTAGAGTACAAAGTGTTTATTTTCCTGAAAGAAATTATCCAATGATCCCGTCA